AAAATTTACCACCCCCATACTCGGTCAAATCTCATCCGATTTGCACAAAGTTTGGATTTTTCTTCATGGTTTTCCCTCTAGATTAATCTGGCATTCAAATCTAAACACCGATTTTTTAGTCGAAATGCATGTCCAAATCTTACCCCAAGATTCGTATATAGACATGGGTCAAAATTTACCACCCCCATAACTCGGTCAAATCTCATCCGATTTTCATAAAGTTAGGATTTTTCTTCATGGTTTTCCCTTTAGATTAATCTGGCATTCAAATCTAAACACCGATTATTTAGTCGAAATGCATGTCCAAATCTTACCCCAAGATTCGTATATAGACATGGGTCAAAAATTACAGCCCCCATAACTCGGTCAAATCTCATCCGATTTTAACGAAGTTTGGCTTTTTCTTCATGGTTTTCCCTCTAGATTAATGTGGCATTCAAATCTAAACACCGATTTTTTAGTCGAAATGCATGTCCAAATCTTACCCCAAGATTTTGACATGGGTCAAAATTTACCACCCCAAGATTCGTATATAGACATGGGTAAAAAATTACAACCCCTATAACTCGGTCAAATCTCATCCGATTTTCACGAAGTTTGGCTTTTTCTTCATGGTTTTCCCTCTAGATTAATCTGGCATTCAAATCTCGACACCGATTTTTTTGTCGAAATTCATGTCCAAATCTTATCCCAAGATTCGTATATAAAAATGGGTCAAAATTTACCACCCCCATACTCGGTCAAATCTCATCCGATTTGCACAAAGTTTGGATTTTTCTTCATGGTTTTCCCTCTAGATTAATCTGGCATTCAAATCTAAACACCGATTTTTTAGTCGAAATGCATGTCCAAATCTTACCCCAAGATTCGTATATAGACATGGGACAAAATTTACCACCCCCATAACTCGGTCAAATCTCATCCGATTTTCACAAAGTTAGGATTTTTCTTCATGGTTTTCCCTTTAGATTAATCTGGCATTCAAATCTAAACACCGATTATTTAGTCGAAATGCATGTCCAAATCTTACCCCAAGATTCGTATATAGACATGGGTCAAAAATTACAGCCCCCATAACTCGGTCAAATCTCATCCGATTTTAACGAAGTTTGGCTTTTTCTTCATGGTTTTCCCTCTAGATTAATGTGGCATTCAAATCTAAACACCGATTTTTTAGTCGAAATGCATGTCCAAATCTTACCCCAAGATTCGTATATAGACATGGGTCAAAATTTACCACCCCAAGATTCGTATATAGACATGGGTAAAAAATTACAACCCCCATAACTCGGTCAAATCTCATCCGATTTTCACGAAGTTTGGCTTTTTCTTCATGGTTTTCCCTCTAGATTAATCTGGCATTCAAATCTCGACACCGATTTTTTTGTCGAAATTCATGTCCAAATCTTATCCCAAGATTCGTATATAGACATGGGTCAAAATTTACCACCCCCATACTCGGTCAAATCTCATCCGATTTTCACAAAGTTTGGATTTTTCTTCATGGTTTTCCCTCTAGATTAATCTGGCATTCAAATCTAAATACCGATTTTTTAGTCGAAATGCATGTCCAAATCTTACCCCAAGATTCGTATATAGACATGGGTAAAATTTACCACCCCCATAACTCGGTCAAATCTCATCCGATTTGCACAAAGTTTGGATTTTTCTTCATGGTTTTCCCTCTAGATTAATCTGGCATTCAAATCTAAACACCGATTTTTTAGTCGAAATTCATGTCCAAATCTTACCCCAAGATTCGTATATAGACATGGGTAAAAAATTACAACCCCCATAACTCGGTCAAATCTCATCCGATTTTCACGAAGTTTGGCTTTTTCTTCATGGTTTTCCCTCTAGATTAGTCTGGCATCCAAATCTGAACACCGATTTTTTAGTCGAAATGCATGTCTTAATGTTACCCCAAGATTCGTATATAGACATGGGTCAAAATTTACCACCCCCATAACTCGGTCAAACCTCATCCGATTTTCACAAAGTTTGGATTTTTCTTCATGGTTTTCCCTCTAGATTAATCTGGCATTCAAGTCTAAACACCGATTTTTTAGTCGAAATTCATGTCCAAATCTTACCCCAAGATTCGTATATAGACATGGGTCAAAATTTACCACCCCCATAACTCGGTCAAATCTCATCCGATTTTCACAAAGTTTGGATTTTTCTTCATGGTTTTCCCTCTAGATTAATCTGGCATTCAAATCTAAACACCGATTTTTAGTCGAAATTCATGTCCAAATCTTACCCCAAGATTCGTATATAGACATGGGTAAAAAATTACAGCCCCCATAACTCGGTCAAATCTCTTCCGATTTTCACGAAGTTTGGCTTTTTCTTCATGGTTTTCCCTCTGGATTAATGTGGCATTCAAATCTGAACACCGATTTTTTAGTCGAAATGCATGTCTTAATGTTACCCCAAGATTCGTATATAGACATGGGTCAAAATTTACCACCCCCATAACTCGGTCAAACCTCATCCGATTTTCACAAAGTTTGGATTTTTCTTCATGGTTTTCCCTCTAGATTAATCTGGCATTCAAGTCTAAACACCGATTTTTTAGTCGAAATTCATGTCCAAATCTTACCCCAAGATTCGTATATAGACATGGGTCAAAATTTACCACCCCCATAACTCGGTCAAATCTCATCCGATTTTCACAAAGTTTGGATTTTTCTTCATGGTTTTCCCTCTAGATTAATCTGGCATTCAAATCTAAACACCGATTTTTAGTCGAAATTCATGTCCAAATCTTACCCCAAGATTCGTATATAGACATGGGTAAAAAATTACAGCCCCCATAACTCGGTCAAATCTCTTCCGATTTTCACGAAGTTTGGCTTTTTCTTCATGGTTTTCCCTCTGGATTAATGTGGCATTCAAATCTAAACACCGATTTTTTAGTCGAAATGCATGTCCAAATCTTACCCCAAGATTCGTATATAGACATGGGTCAAAATTTACCACCCCAAGATTCGAATATAGACATGGGTCAAAAATTACAACCCCCATAACTCGGTCAAATCTCATCCGATTTTCACGAAGTTTGGCTTTTTCTTCATGGTTTTCCCTCTAGATTAATCTGGCATTCAAATCGAAACACCGATTTTTTAGTCGAAATTCATGTCCAAATCTTACCCCAAGATTCGTATATAGACATGGGTCAAAAATTACAACCCCCATAACTCGGTCAAATCTCATCCGATTTTCACAAAGTTTGGATTTTTCTTCATGGTTTTCCCTCTAGATTAATCTGGCATTCAAATCTCAACACCGATTTTTTAGTCGAAATGCATGTCCAAATCTTACCCCAAGATTCGTATATAGACATGGGTCAAAATTTACCACCCCAAGATTCGTATATAGACATGGGTCAAAATTTACAACCCCCATAACTCGGTCAAATCTCATCCGATTTTCACGAAGTTTGTCTTTTTCTTCATGGTTTTCCCTCTAGATTAATGTGGCATTCAAATCTGAACACCGATTTTTTAGTCGAAATGCATGTCTAAATGTTACCCCAAGATTCGTATATAGACATGGGTCAAAATTTACCACCCCCATAACTCGGACAAATCTCATCCGATTTTCACAAAGTTTGGATTTTTCTTCATGGTTTTTCCTCTAGATTAATCTGGCATTCAAATCTAAACACCGATTTTTTAGTCGAAATTCATGTCCAAATCTTAACCCAAGATTCGTATATAGACATGGGTCAAAATTTACCACCCCCATAACTCGGTCAAATCTCATCCGATTTTCACAAAGTTTGGATTTTTCTTCATGGTTTTCCCTCTAGATTAATCTGGCATTCAAATCTAAACACCGATTTTTAGTCGAAATTCATGTCCAAATCTTACCCCAAGATTCGTATATAGACATGGGTAAAAAATTACAGCCCCCATAGCTCGGTCAAATCTCATCCGATTTTCATGAAGTTTGGCTTTTTCTTCATGGTTTTCCCTCTAGATTAATCTGGCATTCAAATCTCAACACCGATTTTTTAGTCGAAATGCATGTCCAAATCTTACCCCAAGATTCGTATATAGACATGGGTCAAAATTTACCACCCCAAGATTCGTATATAGACATGGGTCAAAAATTACAACCCCCATAACTCGGTCAAATCAAAAACCAAGATTCGTATCTAGACATGGGTCAAAAATTACAACCCCCATAACTCGGTCAAATCTCATCCGATTTTCACGAAGTTTGGCTTTTTCTTTATGGTTTTCCCTCTAGATTAATCTGGCATTCAAATCTAAATACCGATTTTTAGTCGAAATGCATGTCCAAATCTTACCCCAAGATTCGTATATAGACATGGGTCAAAATTTACCACCCCCATAAATCGGTCAAATCTCATCCGCTTTTCACAAAGTTTGGATTTTTCTTCATGGTTTTCCCTCTAGATTAATCTGGCATTCAAATCTAAACACCGATTTTTAGTCGAAATGCATGTTCAAATCTTACCTCAAGATTCGTATATAGACATGGGTCGAAATTTACCACCCCCATAACTCGGTCAAATCTCATCCGATTTTCACGAAGTTTGGCTTTTTATACCCGGAACCCATTAAAAATGGGTATAACGGTATATTGTATTTGTGCGAAAGCCAAATGTATGTAACAGGCAGAAGGAAGCAACTCCGACCCCATAAAGTATATATATTCTTGATCAGCATAAATAGCTGAGTCGATCTAGCCATGTCCGTCTGTCTGTCCGTCCGTCCGTTCGTATGTATGAACGCAAGGATCTCACAACCTATAAGAGCTAGAGACTTGAAATTTTAGATGTAGATGCTCCTAGCTACCGCGCAGATCGAGTTTGTTTCCGATAATCGATAAAAATCGATATCGATATCCTGTTTTTTGGGCAATTTTGGTAAATAATAAGAGCTAGAGTCACCAAACTTGACATATAGCTTCTAAAATAGAATATATATATGCATTTGATGTTGGAAGAAGAGGGTTCAGGGTATCCCCTAGTCGGGAGCTCCCGACTAGAACCTCTTACTTGTTTATTTTATTTTTTTTAATTATTTGCTATAGATTATTTACTAAGCTTGTAAGACATGATGATCGACAAAGTCCTGTAGCATGTCCAGCATGCGATCTCTGTATAGTTGATCAGAATTGAAGGCTTTCATGCAGATCTCGATGCGTTTGCGACTGAAGAAATCTCTGAAGCCATCAGCGGAGCCGGTCAGCTCTTGTGTGCTGGCGGGGGGCAGTATAACCAGATGACAGAACAGGCAGCTCTCGATGAGGCCGACAATGCGATACTCATCCACTGAATCGTAATACTCTGGCTCTGTCATAAAGTTGGCTATATTCAAGCCGGCGCGCTTCAGAAACTCTGTCATAAAGCGATAATATTCGGCCAGCAGCTCGTCGAGATGGGCAGCTCGAAATTGACTCGTTGTGGGTATGGTGAGCACGGTGAGCAGATCCATGGCTGGAGGAGCGTATCTAGCCAGCTGGAAGTCGACAAAGCGGCACTGGAGCGGTGTCTCGCCATATTTGCCATACTGGAAGAGCATATTGTTTGCCCAGAGATCACCATGCAAAAGGGTGTTGAGCCGCGTCTTCGAGGTCTTGGCCAGTTCAAAGATGCGCGACATGCGCTTGGTAAAGTTGGCCAATATGTAGTCCAGCTGGTTCTGATACTTGGGCAGCGTTTTGATGAACTCCTTTAGGACCTCACAAGCCTGATTGAAGTTAACCATTCGCAAGTGCTCCGGCGGCACATTTGAGGGATATGCATTCTCCTCCAAGTGAAGTCTTTGGCTATTGCTTTGATCCCTTATAATGGAGCCCGCGTGCAATGCCGCTAACGTTTTGAGGCAGCAGTGCAGCTGCTCAAAGTTGAGCAGACCATCACGAGCTGCGCCCATGCGGTAGCCCTGATCGATGAGATTCTCGAAGACCAAAAGATTCTTGTCCGCATAGTAACATTTGGGCGCTATCTGCGCGCAGGCTGCCTGCACCTCGGGCAGCACATGCTGATAGACGGCAATCTCCTTCTGAAAGACACCAAAATTCTCGAGATATTCCATGCGCGATGCATTGCCCTCCGGCGCCGACTTGCAGAACAGGCGCAGTTGCTTCACCTCGCCTGTCTCCTGCAATTGCAGAATCACCTGCAGATAGAAGTGACTGCCCAGGAAGCCGGCGGGCGTCTCCGAAGTGGGCTGCAGCTGATAGCTGACAACCTCGAATTTGGCATTCATCTCATTCTGGTGCAGATAGCTCTGGCACACGCCCTGTAGATCGGTGCTGCTCAGCTCTAATGCCGTTGCCATCTTGATTCCGACTGTTACACACACTTCCAGTACGCCCAACGCTTTATACCTTCGCCCCGTGGCGAAATATACAAATGCAAAGCTGTCGCAAAGCTGTTATAAACTTCTCCTCTGATAAGCGCATCAGCGTGATCCGAGTGAAAAGATTACTAATGCATATGCTACCAGCTTCTAGACCAACCTAGTATCAACTGTTTCTGTGCCGCCGAAGTTTAGATACCCTTGCAGGACTTTATTTTCTGTGAAAGTTTATTCTTTATTTAAGTTTTTCTATTCCCCATTCTCTACTCCACTTCTTTTCTGCCCAGAGCCTGGACTTGTTATAAACTGTACACTTGCAACTTTAGGGTTTGAAAATACACTCCATAAATATATAAATTAAGTTTTCCACCGCTTCTGCTATTTCCCCATATTATATTAATTATATTATAATTAAATATATTAAAGTAATAGCAAATGAGTTGTACAGCTTAATAAAGGGTATGAAGATGAGCTCACAAGCAAACATCTGGTGTTTCATTCATAATAAAAACGTATTTTAATCCATTGAGGAAAAAATTGTTCTAGTTCAAACAAGATGCACAGACGCAAATGGTTTATCATATAGGTTGTAATATACATTAGCTTAACAGGCGGTGAAATAAATAAACATTTTTTTTATATATATCTTAAATGTAAATTAAGGATGTCAACAAAAGTAAGTAGTATATTTTAATAAAATAATGAAGCGTCAAAGGCCTAATGAGATTAAACAAATTTCTAGTAACATCGCTGACGAGGGTGTTTCATATGATCTATGCGAATGTCAAATACCCTAAATGGAAAATCTTAACGCTTGGTTGTGATAATCCGAAAATTGAATATATTTGAAGTTTATTCAATTTTATTTTTAAATAGTAGCGTCCTATATATACAAACTAGATTTAATAAATTAAAAATATTAAAGATTTAAGTTCAATATTATTTATTATTAAATAAAGTGAAACAATATTTAATTTCCCTATTTCTGCAAAAGCAATCTCAACCAAGTTTTCAAAATGATTTCAAAATAATAAAATTATTCGCAATTCCAATTTCAAATTCCAAATTACTTTAACTGCAATTCAAAGTTTCAGCAAATTGAAGATATTTCAAATCCAAGCCCATTTAAAACAATATTCAGCACCAGCTGTTGTCATGTGAAGATTTACATATCCTAACCATCTACAACACTAGGGTCTGGTTAAACATTGTCATAAGGATTAACGAGGCGCTTGTCGCGCACCTCAGACGCGTGCTTATCATGTGGTATACTATCTAAAACCCGGACCAGGTCCATTGTTGACTTATAGTAAACAAAACTAATGCAAGAGATAATAAAGCCTGTACGCTGCGTAATTAAGTTGATCTTTAGATAAATGTTGTCTATTGGCTGGGAAATGTATTTTTTTTTTTTTGTCAAATACGTGTCTGGGTTGCTGGGAAAGTCAACAGCTGTACTGGAACTTTATCGAGATGGAAATAGTCAATAATGATATATTGATTTGGTCATGAGCAAGTAACATTTAGTAGCTAACCAGAGCTCAAGGGTAGTGCCACAGAATGCGCTTGCGAAGAAGTGTCGAGGAATATTTGAAGAATTCTACGCTGCATGGAGCCCGTTTTATAGTGGATGAAGATGCCAGCTGGCTGGAGCGCATTTTTTGGGTCGTTTGCCTTGGGGCCTCTTGGTACGCTTCCTGGCTTCTCATCAAAGCATCGCTGGGTGAGATAAGAAATAATTGGGAATTGTTTAGGGTATATTCACATAATTAATTCAGCGGCCTTTGAGAATAATGCGATTAGCTTTGTGGTGGAGAGTTCCTATCGCGATTGGAATACCAATTTTCCGGCCATTATAGTTTGCGAATCGAAGAATATGGATCGCATACAGGAAGTAGCCGAACAGTAGGTAGCTTGTATACCTTTTATCCTATATATAATTCCTAGTCCCAACTAGACTCTGGGGCGCCGATCATGACTTCACATTGGAGGAGGTGCTCAGCGAGATTGCCTTCTTTCGCGGCGAGTCCTATCACACGGTGCACGAATGCAGCGGCGAGGAGTCCACAGCCGCCTGCTTCTACTCCAATTTTTCGTACTACGCCCAGCTAGTAAGGAGTAGCTGTGCGGACTCCATACATAGCTGTGAGTGGAATAACACGCCCTTCGACTGTTGTACTTATTTTCAACGCTTGGAAACGGAACTGGGCATTTGCTATGCCATCAATTCAATGCAGGCGGGGTTTGTAGGGTTTACTTTATGAAATCTGTAATATTTGCAATATTTCTTATTTTTAGCAAGTTCAAGGGCCCAAAGCTCAATATGTACTCCAACCGGTATACGGGCCCAGGGTCCTTGAAAATGGAACTACATACAGAGGCAACGGTAAGAGAGAGTTTTTCATATTTTGATAAGTCTGTGTTCTGGTCTGAATTGCCTTGGTGTTATTACATTCTTATTATTGTATAGTTATATATGCTAAAATGCACTTAGTCAAACGATTACATCTTCCCTAATAACTGATAAGAATAATTCAGATTTGTCTATTTATTTCATTATTTATTTATTTTCACCTGCAACAGGTCTTTATATTAGGAACTGAAGAGGTGCCCACTTTGGTGACACCTAAAACAGATTTTTTCGTTGTGGGTCCTTACATATCCTTTGTGTAAGTGTCGCTGCTTGCTATATTTCGTAACATTTGATAGTTTACATCCACCAGTCGCTATGTGTCCAAGCGTGATATTGAGAACGATGAGCAGATCCGCCAGACGAGCGTCGAACAGCGCAACTGTCGCTTTCCGGATGAGAATATTCTCGATGTGCATCGGTATTACAGCTATAGCGCCTGCACGGTGCAGTGCCGCAAGGATAGGCAACTGGAGTTATGCAATTGCTCCAGCCATTTGACACCCAACTCGCCGGATTGGCAACTGTGCAACATGGATGGCCTGGAGTGCCTGAATCGCAACTACGAGGATCTGTCGGTGATCATTGCCAAATGGTCGCGTCGCCGTGGCCGTAAGGGACTAGTCTGCGATTGCCTGCCCTCCTGCACTGAGGTGGACATTACCACCGTGTACGACAGCAAGGATAACATATATGGCAACCAGAATCCCGTATCCAAAATTGAAGTAGCGCTCATTGAGCTACCCACAGAGCGCTACAAGCGCAACCTGGTGCGAGGTAAATTGGATCTGGTTGGTAAGTTGTACACGGAACTGCCCGAAACTCTGCGAATTGTTGCTGCATGTGTGTCCTTTGCAGTGTCTATCGGTGGCACCACGGGCCTGTTTGTGGGCGCCAGCTTGCTCAGTTTTGTGGAGATTATATACTATATGACCATACGACCATATACCAGCTACATGCACGAGAAGCGACGACAGAAGCGACTTATCCAGCTGAAAAGTGAACACTAAAATCGATTGCTAATTGACTAACACTAGTTAGCACGTTTTTAGTTTCCGGAGCACGAAAGAAACAAAAATATTGAACGGATTGTAAAAGAATATTTAAGTTTAGGAATACCTTTTCTAAATTAAGTTTTTCTCTTAATAAACATTTAAGCTGCAGCTCAAGCCGAATTAACTTCTTTGCCAATTGCTAAGTACTGTAAGTAAACAAGAAGGTGCTGGTTCTAATCCCAAGCTAGGCTGCTTATTGACTTTGTAGCCTCTGCTTTTGAGCTCACAGCTAACGATTAAAGATAGTGAAAACTTATCCAAATATATAAATAATGTAAAATAAAGATATGAATACTTAATCATATTCTCAGATTTTCTTTTTTCTTTGCTTTTAGTTTTCTTTGTTTCTTTTGATAAGGCGCGTATATTTAAACATGAGAAAAGGTATAAAATGCTCGTGATTTGAGGCGCATTCAACAAGTGTGCTTGTAGTAAACGTATCTAAAGGTGCCACACGTATATATCTTATCGCGAGAAAGCAACGAATCCCATAAAAACCGAACAGTTCTCAGAGATTCGGCAACTGAGTGAATTGTGAAAATAAATGTGCATTTTCGCTCAGTTTAATCGCGTTGCGCAGCGTTAACACACGGGAAAATTGTCGCGCGAAAATCTATTTTGTTGCTTTAAAAAGAGAAAAAGACCGTTCGTATACGTAACGGCGCGTATACGCAATATGCTCTTAACGCACGAGGAATGTGTACAAATCTTAAAGAATCTATTAAGCATTGCCATTGAGCAACTCCATCTGCTCGACTTTCAAGTGGAAAGGGATATCAGTGCAGTCGGTTATCTGGGCGATTATTATACGCTACGTTTAAGCTACTGCACTGTAAGTTAATACTAAGTATTAAAATTTAGAGATTATTGTCGCAGTGACTTTTCGTTGAACTCGGTGCATTAAACTAAGCATGATTATTAAATGATGATTTAGATGCCTTTTGACTATGCTCTTTGCGCGTGCAAAAATAAATATATACTCTTTTTGTATGTAATCACGCTTTTCAATACTCTACTTCTCTATTTATATACAACATTAGCTGCTGCTCTTCAGATTTTTTCTGCAAAGGATCTTAATAGAAACTATTTATAGCTGCAGATTAGACTGCTATAATATAATCTTTATAGATGATAACGAGGATGTTACTTAAAATTATTTTTTAATGTATATTTACATTTACTCAAGTATATATGTATATATATATATGTGATGTGTCTCGAAATATATAATTTATATAACATATATTAATATATTTTTAGAAATTTAAACACTATTTATGTACATACTTTTTGTTGAACTAATCCAATTATATTCAGTCATAGCCGCTTATCAGTATATTTATATTTAAAGGGTTGTTTATCACAACCAGCATTCAACAATGTCCAGTAATCAAAATGTAACAAAATGCGCATTACTATTACCTGTTATTAACAGGTGAAAACGTAGCGTAACGTAAATCGTAAATGGTTAAATATATTTTCTTAAATTAATAGGTGTGCGTGACGTGAATGTTTCTTAATTTGTTTTAAAAGAAATCATCACTAAGCAAATACAAAATTTTCGTTACTTTGATGTTTCTTGCTGTGGAGCCGGGTTTCTTGACAAACAAATTAGTTTTTCATACACGAACTTTATTTTGGACCGATTGCGGCTAATATATGATATATGTATATATGATAAAGTGTTCCGAAAGTATCCTAAGAAGTGTATAAAAATGAGATAATAATAATAAATAAATAGAGAACTACCTTCTGATTAAATATATAATAAATAAAGAAATAAAGTAACGAAAACATACAGACAAATGAAATATGTATATACAACCCGAATATATAATCCTTTTTTAGCTTTCTTTGTGCAATAAAAATACATAGTTATGGCATACTTTTAGGAGGACGACAAAACTCCCCAACAGCAACAGCTTTTTGTGAAAGCGCTGCCAAAAAAAAGCGATGAACCCGAAAAAGAGGCAATCTTTCGCAAAGAGGCGTGGCTGTATGATACTTTGCTGGCTGACATGCAAAAATATTGTGCGTAATAACAGAAAATTAAAGTTTAAATAGCTAAAAATTAACCAGCCAACATTTTTATTTCTGTCTACAGCCAAAAGAAAATGGAGCGCCAAATGTTATTTCACACGATCTGATCTCTTGGTGCTTGAGAATATCAAGAACATTGGCTATTCTGCGGCTCCGGAGAGACTGCTCGACGCGCAGCAACTGCATCAATTGCTGCGCTCCCTGGCTGCCTTCCATGCGTCCAGTTTGGTCTACGAGCAGCGCAAGCACATAAATATTGGCCACAAGTTTGGGGATCGCCTTCTTGAGATAACAATTGCACCTGATATAGCCTGGTATACCACGGGCCTGTCCGTCATTCTGGCCGTGATTAAAAGCCTGCCACAATACCAGACGAGCCAATATGTTGATGGTCTGGACGCCCAGTTGGCTGCGATTGCCCGGCGCACTTATGAACAGGTGGCACCCTCCACCAAATATAGAAACGTGCTCTGCCATCGTGATCTATGGGCGGGCAACATTTTCTTTCCTGCTGATCCCACGAATGCAGGCTTACTCATCGATTTTCAAACTTGCCGCTATACACCACCAGCTGTCGATTTAGGCTTCAGTATCTATTTGAATCTAGCAACCATGGAGAGAAGGCATATGGAGGCGAATTGCATTGATTTCTATTACAAGTGTCTGCAGCAGAACTTACAGGACTTTGGCTTGCAGTCGTCTGAATTAATATCCAAAAAGGAACTGCTGCAGTCCTACGAGGAATTCCGCCTCCTTGCGGTTGTCTACAGCGCAGCTGTTGCCACAATTGTGAAGGTGCCGCCTGCATTCGTTACCAACGAGTTCAAATATGTGGATCGCAGTGACATTATATTGGATTATATGCGGGAGAACGAAGAGTTCAGAGCCTCCATGGAAGAGTATTGCGTGGAAGTCATGGAAATCGCTTCGGCTAATTTATAAAACTCTTTTTAACACTCTTATCGGCACTGATAAGATTGAGTTCTCTGCTCAATTAACCTGTGAGCTGTGAGAACGATAAGCTGCGAATATATACTACAAAAAAACAAAACTAAAAACATCTCACCGAGGCGTAAATACGCTAAATAAACGAAGGATTTTTATTAAATTATTATTAAATGTATTATCTTATTGGCTTGGAATAGAATTTCATGGAATTTATACAAACGAAGTTCATTTTTAATTTTGTTTTGTTTTACGATTTTGAATAGATAAATATTAAATTTATGCTTGAAAAATGTTTGAATTAATAAGTAAACTAATTAAAGAGAGTTTTTTAAATGTCCCCAATATAAGTACCATCTATTCTGACATAAGACCAACCTTATATTTGTTATCGAGGCTATCGTGAACATACCCTTCGGGTTAGGGTATAACAATAAATGGTTTCTATGTGCCAATGCCTAGTAATTGTGATTAGTTGGACGCGGTCTCCCGCAGAGCACGTTCGGGTTTTTCGCTGTGGACGTAAATTTAAAAATATTTGATCATGAGCGAAGATATCTACAATCCCGTGCTGACGCGTGCCAATCGCCTGGAACTGTTTACGGTGGACGAATGCGAGAACATACTGAAAGCTGTGCTGGAGGATAAGAATGAAAATGGGAGCCTAAAGAAATTTGAAATTTTGCCAGCCATAGAGAATATGGGCTTCCTAGGAGAATATTATCATCTAATACTCAGCTATCTATTGGAAAATGAGTCAGAGCAGCGCACAATGCGCCTCTTTGTCAAATCTGTGGCATACGAGAATGCAAATATGTCCTACTACGAGGAAAAGTCCAGTATTATTAAAAAGGAGGCTAAGCTCTATGGATTGCTGCTGAATGAACTGAAAAATTTGTGTAAGTCTTAATTTATAAGTACTCTTGGTCAGTTGGTATACTCAAAATCTAGTCTAATCGCTTCATAAAGCACAATCCCTAGTTATTCTTTTTTAATTATTGATAACAATTTATGGCAATACAATTATCGGACGAAATGGGATTACTTTATTATATTTCTTTTGTATAAAATAGATTTGCCGAAAATAGATTTATTCTGTTTAATCTTGCATCTTATCAATTGAAACAATTACAAGTTTTATTATGTTTTTCATACCTTATCAAAACTTGAACATTGACGAAAATTTATCAGGCATTTAATTTCTTTTATAAAAATTTTACTTTGTATTTCAAAAAGATTAAGAAAGTGCTCCAATTACAGTTATCTATGTCATAGATCCCATTTAATTTACATTTCTTATTATTAATCCCAATTAGCTGCTCATGTGTGGTGTGCCAAGTGCTATTTCACCCGGGATGATCTGTTCGTAATGCAAAATATTGAGGATCTGGGCTACAGATCGCTGCCCTCGAAGACGCGCTTCCTAAGCGAACAGGAGCTGCGACCCATGATCAAGGCATTGGCTACCCTACATGCCAGCAGCGTGGCCTATGAGCGACGCCATCGGCTGACCATTGGCGTGGTATTCAGGGAGTGGCTGCTGGAGAAGTCCATCGATCCTGATATTGTCTGGTGGACGACCGGCTTAAAGGTGACATTTGGGCGCATACACAAAAGACTTTATGGCAATACAATTTTTGCATTTGCAGGCTGTGCTGGCTGTTGCTGCTGCACATCCCCAGGTGCGTAAGGATGCAGCTGCTCAGGATTATATTGCCAATGAGTTGCCACGTTGCCTGGATCGAGTCTATTTCATGGCAAATCCTTCGCCCGTGCATCGTAATGTTTTCCTGCACCGTGACGCCTGGGGCGGAAATGTGTTCTATCACAAGGAACATCCCCAGGATGTAGGCTGTGTGCTGGTGGACTTTCAGCTGTGCCGCTATGCACCGCCAGCTGTGGACCTGCTCATGGCCAGTTACCTTAATGTGGAGCCGGCGCAGCGCAAGCAGATGATGGAGCGCATAACTGGCTACTATTATGAGCACTTGGTAGCAGAGCTAACAGTCATGGATATCGATGCGCAGCGGGAGCAGCTCAGTCGAGCTGACTTCGACCAATCCCTACAGGACTTTGCTCTCTTTGGTGCCACCTACAACTGCATAGCCGCGACCATACTGCGACTCCCCGAAAACTATCTGAAGAAGCTCAAGGATGAACAGCCCATGGAATTTCATCGTTTCTGTAATGTGGATCGTACCCAAGCGGTGCTCAGATTAATGGACGAACATGAGGATTTCAGATGTTATATATATGACTGCATCGAGGATTTATTGGAGCTGACATACTATAAACAAGTCAAGTGAAATGGCCCTGTCTTATCTTCACTCTTTACACAATGCTCACCTGGTAACACACATCTTATCAGCTCCGAAAGTTTTTGCTTCCAGATTATCTTAGCACTGATATGAAACAAAAATTTGTAGGTGTGTTAGAAAAATAAAAGAATTATATGATAACTTCTGATATATTCTTTACAAAGATGAACGGTTTTTGGAAGTTTGAAAAGATTGTGAAATCTCGGTTCTCTTTAGTATGGATCTAACTGCCAGCATTAATGGAACTGCTCAGCTTGGAGGAATGTCGTCTGATAGCATTACGTACGCTTCATCTGAAAACAGACGATGATAATTTGGTTTTATTGGAGCGACATCTTGATGCGGGCTCGAACGATCTAATGGGCTACATGGGCGAGTACTATAAGCTGCGCTTGGAATTGGAAGACACAAAAACTAACTCCAAGCATCACTTGCAATACTTTGTAAAGAGTATACCCTACAAAAATCCACCACAAAGAGCCGAATGTGAACGAAAAGGAGTCTTTCGTAAAGAAACGAATATCTACAGGCAATTGTTGCCCAACATACAGAGATATGGTGGGTTTATATTTAGTTTGTAAACTAAGTCGTAAGCCAGGTGTTTATCTCACGGCTTAATTAAAATTGGTTACTGTCGATTATTTAGTATCATTAGTTAGGCTAGACCAAGTTATCTCTAAAATCCAGGAGTTTTTTATTCAATATAAATATTCCATAATTTTTTTCTTAGCGAGCCGCAAGCTCTTTCCGCAGTGTTATTACAGTCGAGACGACATAATGGTGCTGGAGGATCTCACCTTGCAGTATCGGCATCTCAAGCCCACGGAGTGTTACTCCTTTGAACATTATAAGTTGGTGCTGGAGCATCTGGCAGCTCTGCATGCGGCAAGCATTGCCTGGGAGGAGGCTGAACAATTTTATATTGGCGATCGCTACAAAAAAGTGTTCAACGAACTGCTTATGAACATGCAAAACGAGTGGTTTATCACAGGATTGAAGGTGCGCAATCCATATAACTAAACCTTAAAAATTAACCTTATATAAAAGATATTTCAAAACAGGGAATCGTTTTCCTAGCTGCACGACATGAGAAATATCAAACAGACAAAGCCCAAAGATTCATCAAGGAAGAACTTTACCAGCTGCTGACCAAATCGGAACATCTAGTAGAACCTTCTAAGACCATTCGAAATGTGCTCTGTCATCGTGATACTTGGGATCGGAATATACTGTTTGGTTTTGCCAACGAGGATGACTGCTTGCCCAGCTCCTGTTGCATTGTGGACTTCCAGTTGACCGAGTATTGCTCCCCCACATTGGATGTGCTCTTCGTGCTCTATATACTTGTTCCGTCGGCCAGGCAGAGACGTGAGATTTATGAGCCGGCACTGGAGTATTATTATGATTGTCTTCATTCCGAATTTGTGCGACTCGGCCTGCCCACTGGTCTGATTAGCAGGGAGAACTTTATGAAGGATTGCCAACGCACCCGCCTGTTTGGTCTGATAGTTAAAGCCTTAACCGAGCCACAGACAAAGATGTCGGCAAGCATATCCAACAAACTGCGGGCGGATGAACCAGAGAAATTTGACTCTTACCTCAACTGTGACCGTAGCGAAATGTATCTGAGAGTGATGCAGATGCAGCCGGACTACGAGCAGACGATAATGCAGCCCATCGAGGAGCTAGTTGATTATCTGATGGAGCACGAGCATCTAGATGTTTAAGTGAATACGTTTAATCGTGTGCTCTTAATAACTCTTATTGACATCTGTGAGCACTATAATCAAAACTCTTGTTAGTATTCAAACATTCGTATATCTGTAAAATATGTTAGATGCTCTGAGATTTTGATTTTGACCGAGTTATGGATGTGGGTAATTTTAACCTATGTGCATAGGATATGAGTGTCCCATTTTATATGAATTTTGACCAAGACTAATGTTGCCAGATTTAGAAATCAACTTCATCCAAATGGCTAAAGCTGAATCAATTATAATATAACCCACATAGAGCATTTATATATTAATCGCCCTTTTCTAAATTTGAGTACATTTCCGTACAGCTATTTGGACATGCGTTATTTATTAGAAACTAGAAACATATAGATTTGTTTGTATATAATAGACTCTAGCTAGAATGATGGCATACATAAATATATAAATTTATAGTTTGTATAATACTAGCTTCAAGCAAGATTCGTCATTGATAATCCGCATTCTAATAGTTAAAAGCCTAGCTACATTAAAAAGGCGTCACACAAAGGCTGCCAGCTAGTCAGTCCAGCAATCCTCATTGGCATCATCCTCATCGTAGTCGCGCACATTGAAGTCCTCGTGAAACAGATCCTCGCCCTCCTCTTCGGAGGACTCCGACTGTCATCTGATGCCGCTGACGCGTTGCGGCAAGCTAATCACACCCTTGGGCGGACGCGGCATCCTAATGCTGGTGGCTGCAACCGCTGCCGCCGATGTCGATGCCTTGCCGGAAACACTGGGAATGAGCTGGGCATTCAATATGGTTGTCTGATCGAAGCAGTTGCAGCAATATTTATCACAGCGCATCAGCAGAATGAGTCCGCCGAGCAGCCAGACGAGCACGCCAGGCCAGGAGTGGACCGCACAGGCCGAGAAGAAGACAACGCTCAGCAGCAGGCACATGGCGCACAGCACGGGACTCACATTGATCACGCTGCCCGTGTACTGCGGTATGATGCCCATCATAATGGCCACAATAAAGACGCCAATTGCGCCGGTGAATGCGGCAGGTGCCCAGCGCAGCACCAGGCCAGCCACACACAGGGCGATACCCAATCCGATGACGACAATCGCAAAAATTGTCACCCTCCACGAGCTGACGGTGGGCACCCGAACGCTTCGCTCCAGCGGGCCAGCTGTGGTCACCTGAAAGCAAGGCAGAGTTCCAGTTTGGTTTGAGCGAAGGTAGAGCATATAGTTAACTTACCTTTACCTTCTGACGATACTCATCAACTATAGCATCGATGTCCGTTGAGGTATCCGAATCGCTTTTGTCGAACTTATCAGGATACTCAAAGTCAGATGGCTGTCGGAATAGAGTTTGAAAATTATTAGAGAAGATTTAGGAAATTGTAATATTATGGACTAAGTAAAAGGCTCGAACTGTGAGAATCACACAATATAAATGAGATGTTGTTAAAAGATGATGTCAACCATGGTTCTAATCCCGATTGTAAAATAAAGAAAGAAATGTCAATTGATTCGTATCCTGTATCCTATCCCAGTTTGGGACATAAGAATAACGACAATATTTGACATTGTTGCTTTAGGGAGCGAATATTCAGCTATACACTCACCGGTGGCTCGCTATCTGACAATATGGTAGACTCCACATCTCTGCCCTCGCGCTGAGGGCAGGGCGACGTTGGTTCGCCCAGCAGTAGCCATTCCTTTTCGACCTCTGGCTTATTGCGCTGCTTATTCTTCGGCTTCTTCAGGCCCCTCTGTTTGGGCAAGCCAATGTTCCAGAGACTGCGCTTCACGCGACTGGAACTGGCCGTGGCGGCGCTGCTGCTGCTGCTGCTCTTGGCTATGGGCGCCGTGGAGAGGCGACTGTAGGAGAGGGAGGACTCGCTGCTGCTGGGCTGCATGAACTTGGGGCGATACGGGATGTATAACAAGTAGAAGGCACGCAGAAAAACGGCCGTTAGATGACTGGCCGCCAGGCAGTAGCTGAGATGCTGCAAGGGACAGGCGAAGGCCAACATGGCGCACAGGCTGCCCGCTATGAAGACGGCCAGAACAGGATTGCCGCTGTCCGAGCTCTCGTAACTGATTTGCTTGCTGAGAATGCGCCACTTGTAGTGGCTGCTTTGCACTCCCCAAACGAATCTGCTTGTTGATCAGCTGCTCTAGTTTAGTTACTGCTTTACCGACCGCGCTGGAAGCCAATTCTTCGTTTATTGCACAGCTGAGGGCATGCGCAACCGAATAGGGCGAATAGAGAGGAAAAAGGTGATAAGATCAGGCCATAGTACCGTTTTAAAATATAATCGCGTGATGTAGAGCTTTTGAAAGCTTCCTTATTTTTTTTGTCGTTGGGAAGTAGTAAAGGTTAAAAGTACAGCTCAGCATGTCAGATATATTTGAAGCGCGTGCGAGTTAAGTTCATAACATTTTTTCTTTCTTTGCAAATAATTTTTTTGCAAAGACATCAACGACCAAGGCTGCAATTGTAGTACAGTTTGGAAGTGTTCTTTTGGTACGCTAATAGAAACCAAAAACCTTCATAACAACTCGACCCACTAACCTAATTGTGATTCGGGGTGACCCTTAAAGAAAAGGTATTTATATGTGCTAGTGTTGAGACTTGGAACTAATTAAGGCTTCCACAGTTTCCGTGCCTGCTCAGTTGACTAGATTTAGACGTACTAGTCGGCACTACCAGAGGGGGAGATCGGACCAGACAAGGGCAACACCAAGAGCACGTGTCGCACTTAGCAACCCAGCAGAACCAATTTTGTTGCTATTTTACTTATCAGCCGCTGTCTTGCGAAGAACAACATCTGGCATAGCCTCGGAAAACGGCGTCAAGCGGGTGAAACGCTTACTATTTATGCAGCACCATCGGGACCGCATGCACTAAGCATATAGTGTAACCTGCAGAGAGTAACAAAGGAGCCGAGTCTGTATTACTTTTGGTGTACCCCTTTCGCTTGCTTAGCAGCATTGCCATATAATTCCATTAATTGTTTAACGTTGCCAAGATGGACGGCTAATAGATCCTTAGTTTTAATTTTTATTTCCTTTAATTTTTTTCTTTCTTTTACTAATTTCTTTAAAACAAAATGTGCAATGAATATGCCTAAATAAGTTAAAGCGAGAGGAAATTCCTACACCACCGACCTTGACCGTTGCTCATATATATATATATATATATATATATATATACATGTGTTTATATACTTATAACTTTCTTTTGTAATATTTAGCAACAGCGATCATAATCGTCGTATACATTGGGCCCAACGTCTGCTTCGAAGGATATCGCGTGAGTAAGAGTTTAAACCAATGCCTATAGATATATGTAATTATATACACACATGAACATTTAAATGCAGTTAATTTAGCAAGACGGTAAATTAATTACTATCCGTCAAGTCTCAAGATAATGTTGGTGAATTTCTCCTTCCCCTTAATTTCGTTATGGGATTTAAACTAGTTATTGCACATTCATCATATTAACTTTGGATTCAAATTTTGTTTGGAAACTGTATATTTTTTTTGTAAATAGAGTTATACTCACCTTGCTATTAATTGGCAACAAATTGAACAATGCGTGAATAAACGAATTATATTAGCTTATATGATATGATATCCTAATTCCATAATTAATTGTTTTATCTGTCAAGTACCCATGTTAGCCGCTTGCAATTTATAGTGATGGTTTAAGAACCTGAAATAGGGACAAGCATCCACATTCCATTTTTTTTTTTGCTTGTCAAGGTAGGGAGGGTAAAGAGAAAGAGAGACGATCAACACCTTAGTTCTCTCACTTACGCGAAATTGAATAGTTTGAATTTGGGTGTTCGGTCGGGACACATTAATGGTACCCATACTAGAATCCGGTTTTTTTTTGTTTCAATGGATTTACTTAAATCAATAAGTTTTTTTTTATTTTTTTTGATCGCACTTAAACTATGTGTTTATGGTAAGTGCAAAAGGGAAAGGAAAAAACCCCGACCAGTCCGACGAGCTATTGTCCGAGTATTAGCAAGAAGTGCGAACCTCCAATCCCTATGCACCCGGTTAGGCAACAGCCACGGCCGTTTGTTTTTATTTTTGGTAGATGGCCAAACGAAAGGCAAAAACTGAACCCGAACCATCCCCACCATCACATATATGGCGCCCAACACGTGGGACCCTAGCAAGAACGTAAAACTTTTACTTCTTGCGTAAGCACGACTAACACCTAGTGCACAACAATCCCCAATCGAAACTCGAAGTTATACCATATCAATTACTACCTATTATTTTTTAATTACCTGTTAGGCCCCTTTCTCGGGAAAATACGTTGTGTTCAGACAGTAGTTAGTTGTAGGAATTTGCGATTGTAATTCAGGCATTGCTGGATTAGTCGACCACAATTAATTACTAGTACTTTAAGCAGCGGGTAAGATCGGAAAAGAGGGAATAATAATCAAATTTGGGTTAATTGTTTCAAGGACTATTTGGAATTACAACAAACTGGAAATATTTCGGATGTTGTCTAGTAGTCCATGAGCAGTAAAAATCCAAATCAGAAATAGACTCCAGTAAAATAAATAGCACAAATTCAACTACTCAGGTTTGCTTAAGGATTGTAAGCAATAACGTGTGGGAAAAAGACAGATAGAATAAATAACCAAGACTTAATAATACAAGTCCTATTTAGTTTTCCTTTTGTTGTTTGGAAACAAGCGAAAGTTTGCATTCATTATGGCAGTGAGACGAAGCACAGAGAGCATAGTTGCAGCGATTAACGCGCAAGATCCATTTTGTGGCATTTGCCATGAGCAATTGCAAGCAGAACAGCTATCTGCGACTACTCCTTGTCAACACCGTTTTCACGACGTTTGCATAAGCAATACACTAAAGACAACCCCAAAATGTCCAGTATGTGAGGCAGATTGCAACCCAGGGCAACTAATATTTATGAACAATACACTGGCAGCGGAGTTACACTCAGCTGGTAATGCTGAAACAGACGAAACTCTATCGCGAAATACTCTACCTTGCCAAGATGGTTCGACTACTACAGGTATCAGGAGAGGTCAGCGATTCGGAAAAGGGCGAGGAGCCACGCCCAAGCGAAGTATGCAAACTAGGTCTATGAATCGAAATCATAGAGAATATTTAGGTAGTTGCATGTCTTTAGGCAGCAACGGAAATAAGTCAGTGGACAATGGTCCAAATGTAGAGACAATTACCTATATCAACGAAGCTCTACAATCTCAGCAAAGGACTTTAATAGCAGAACTCAAAAACGTTATTAAAGCTTCTGTTGAACAATCACTGCAAGAGAAGTTAGCAACATTAAATGTACGAAGTGAGCAAGCTGAATCAACACGCTCTAGATTAGTTCAGTCTCCAAGGGGATTAGGTGCTGATACTCTCCCTAATAGTGCCCAGAACTCTGACATACCCCTTGACTGCGGACCATACAGCCCCAGAGGTAGCAATCGATCAAACTCAAGTTTGAGTTCAGAAAAAGCAGCTAGCATTATGCAAACCTGGCGACTTAAATTTGACGGTTCGAAAGACTCTATGCAGATAGATGAATTCTTGTATCGAATTCGTTCATTAACGGCTCAAAATTTGAACGGCGACTATAGGCTGCTTTGTGACAATCTTCATTTACTTTTCTTCGGGAAAGCCAATGATTGGTTTTGGAGCTTCCACAAGAAAAACCCACAGTATACCTGGTTGGCTTTCTGTACGGATTTCCGACTTAGATTCGAGGACGTTAAAGACGACTTTGACTTGTGGGAACTAATTAGGAAAAGACGCCAGAAAGATCAGGAGACATTTGATGATTTTCAATCAGCGATTGAAGGCCTGGTTAGCCAATTATCTAACGAAATAAGCGAAGACAAGCTTGTTGACCTATTAAAACGCAATGCGAGAACAGCGCTCAGGTACGAACTATTGCATTTGAAGATTAGAACTCGAGCAGAATTAAGAGAGGAAGTTAAGAAACATGAAAGTTTCTGTAGAGAAACTGGCTCGTTTCCCAATCGAACCAAATACGGTAGAGGTAATGTCTCTGAGTTACTGGAAAATAATGATATAGAAGATAATATTTCAGAAATACAGAACAAGAAAATAGTGTGCTGGAATTGCGATAAAGTGGGACACCGATTCGATGACTGCATGGGAGAAAGGCGTATATTCTGCTACGGTTGCGGTGCTAAAAATACTTTTAAACCCAATTGTAGCAAATGCAATCTTTTGGGAAACCGGAAGCGGGATGCGCAGACCAACACCAGTTTGACGCATCCCACAAAAGAATAAAGTCCTTGCCAGAAATACAGTCATATGGTAGTTTGGAGCAATCAACTCCAAATACTATATTTACAACTTATATGGCAAATACATGTTCAGTCGCCGAGACTGCAACTCAAACTGATATTGAAAATAAGTACGTACCGTACCATATTAGAGTAAAACACTATCTTGACACACGAAGACGAATTTTTAGCAGCATAGAACCCATCGAATTTCTCAGTCGGCCAAAACGCTCTACTGTTCGACTTAGGAAATTCTGGAAAAATATTAAAAGTCTTCGTAAGAAGCTCGTTCAATCAGTGTTTATGAGCTCAGATAACCGCTTGTACACTGAGTTAAGCCTAGAGGGAGAAAAATATGTAGCATTATTAGATTCCGGAGCGACGATTAGTTGCCTCGGTAATGTTGCAGCTAAGTCACTGTTGTCACATCCCAAAGCGCGCAAATGCTCTGGATCAATCCGAACAGCTAACAACGCTATTTGCCCAGTGGTAGGCAAACTGACACTTAAAGTTGAATTTCGAAAACAAGTGCATAATGTTGATTTTTATGTTATACCCGATTTGAAACAAGATGTTTACTTAGGCATAAATTTTTGGCAGGACTTTGGACTGTTAACGAATTTAATTCGTCCTGATGAGTCCGTAAATGAATTAGACAACAGTAACGAACAGGATATCCAGGAAACAGCGAAAATGCATCAGCTAACCGCTGAAGAAAAGTCACGATTAAATTCGATCATTTCTAATTTCTATTCTTATGAAAAGGAAGGATTAGGACGCACTGAGTTAATCGAACATCGCATTGAAATAGATAATGTGACCCCCGTCAAACAAAGACATTGGCCTATTTCGCCAGCCGTTGAAAAGCTAATGTTTGACGAGATCGAGAAAATGCTAGCTTTAGATATAATAGAGGTATCGCATAGCCCCTGGAGCAGCAACTGCGTCCTTGTGCAAAGAAAGGATAAAAACAGGCTGTGTCTAGATTCTCGAGTCATAAATAAGTACACTCGTAAAGATGCGTACCCTCTACCCCATATCGACGGAATTCTTAGTCGTCTGCCGCCGGCTAAATATATAACGGGCCTCGATATGAAGCACGCATTCTGGCAGATACCCCTAGAAGAAAAATCACGTCAGTATACCGCTTTTACAGTCCCTAATCGTCCATTATTTCAATACAAAGTAATGCCGTTTGGATTGTGTAACGCTCCTCAAACGCTTTGTAGACTAATGGAACGCGTGATACCAGCCCATTTGCGGACCCGCGTATTTGTCTACTTAGATGATTTACTTCTGCTATCAGAGGACTTCGATTCGCATATGTTGCTTTTGCAGGAAGTAGCGCTGCACTTGCGTAAAGCGAACTTGACAATCAACATCGCAAAATCAAAATTTTGTATGCGGGAAATTAAATATTTGGGCTTTATAATTGGGTATGGTCAACTAAAGACGGACCCTAGCAAAATACAAGCTATTAACGAATTCCCTGTACCAAAAAGTGTAAAACAACTGAGACGTTTTCTTGGACTCGCTGGATGGTACAGACGTTTCGTTAATCATTATGCAACAGTTAGCTTTCCGCTTACAGAGTTGCTAAAGAAATCGAAAGTATTGAAATGGAACACTGATGCTGATTCCGCTTTCAACACCTTAAAAACACTTTTAACTTCTGCACCTGTATTGGCTACACCCGACTTCTCAAAACCTTTTAGATTAGTTTGCGATGCTAGCACAACTGGTTTAGGATGCGTTCTAGCTCAACTAAATGAACAGGAAGAGGAGGCTCCAATAGCATACATGTCAGAGAAACTGTCAAAGGCCCAACGGAATTATAGTGTGACCGATCTGGAATGCTTAGCCGTAATAAGAGGTATTTTTAAATTTAGAGCGTATATAGAAGGACAGGACTTCGAAGTAATAACTGATCATGCTTCCTTACAATGGCTCATGAGACAGAAGGATCTCAGAGGACGTCAAGGTAGATGGGTGATCAAATTACAGGGCTTCAAGTTTAAAGTCTCGCATCGTAGCGGTACACAAAATGTTGTCGCTGATGCGCTATCGCGTCAAAATGAGACAGAGCTTGCGGAATTCGAGGAGCAAGGTCCCATAGTTGACCTGTCTTCACCCGAATTCAAATCGCCAAACTATCTGGATCTGATAGACAGTATTTCTTCTAACCAATCCAGATTACCGGATTTACAGATAATCGACGGTTTTATATATAAACGTACTGAGCCAGCGACGGGATATAGCATTCAGGAGAAACAATCCTGGAAACTCTGGATACCTTCGTCTCTCACCCTACAAGTGATAGAGAGAGCCCACAATCCCCCTAACGCTGCACACAGTGGCATCGGAAAAACAATAGAGAAACTCAAGAGATACTTGTTTTGGCCAAAAATGTCGGCCCAAATTCATGAATATATAGTCAATTGTAAAGTTTGTCGGCAAACGAAAAGCCCCAATGTAGTGTTGAGACCTCCAATGGGCAAGCCTATGACGTCAGAACGGCCATTTCAGAAGCTCTACATGGATCTTCTAGGGCCATATCCTCGGTCCAAGAACGGCAATATAGGTCTCCTGATGGTTGTAGACCATAATACTAAATTTCATTTTATGTGGCCTCTTCGCGCGTTTACTACCAACAAAATTATCGACTATCTAGAAAACACACTGTTTTGCACTTTCGGCGTGCCAGAAACTATTCTGACCGACAATGGCTCTCAGTTCATTTCTAGTGTCTTTAAAGCTTTTCTTACCCGGTATGGAATCATCCACATTCGAACGGCAATATACTCGCCACAAAGTAATGCGAGTGAGCGAGTAAATAGATCAGTATTAGCGGCTATTAGAGCCTATATCGGAAAAGATCATTCAAATTGGGATAAAAAGCTGTACGCCATTTGTGCTGCCTTGAGAGCCAGCGTTCACCAAAGTACAGGGTACTCTCCATATTTTTTTAGCGTTTGGACAGAATATGATGTTAAACGGTAAAGACTATGACTTGCTAAAGCGACTTAACCTCTTGTCCGAAGACACTGCTATTGAGAGGCCCACAGCCTTACAAGTAATCCGTCAGATAGCTAAAGACAATGTAGCTCAGTCACATAATAGAAATGCTAAGATATATAATTTGCGCAGCCGAAACATAAGTCTTACTGCCGGTACGAAAGTCTTCGCCCGCAATTTTTGTCAGAGTAACGCGCAAAAGAAGTTTAGTTCTAAGCTTGCACCAGTTTTCATTCCGGCGATTGTTGTACAAAAAGTCAGCCCAGCCTACTATCAACTAGCTAATGAAACAGGTAAATGCATCGGTACTTTTCATCTCAAAGATATACAAACTAGTAACAAGTTCTAACTCAACAGTTATTATAGTTATTTCAGTTTATGTCCCGCTAGCAAGTAGCGCTGCATAAACTGTGGTGTAGTGGCTGCTTTGCACTCCCCAAACGAATCTGCTTGTTGATCAGCTGCTCTAGTTTAGTTACTGCTTTACCGACCGCGCTGGAAGCCAATTCTTCGTTTATTGCACAGCTGAGGGCATGCGCAACCGAATAGGGCGAATAGAGAGGAAAAAGGTGATAAGATCAGGCCATAGTACCGTTTTAAAATATAATCGCGTGATGTAGAGCTTTTGAAAGCTTCCTTATTTTTTTTGTCGTTGGGAAGTAGTAAAGGTTAAAAGTACAGCTCAGCATGTCAGATATATTTGAAGCGCGTGCGAGTTAAGTTCATAACATTTTTTCTTTCTTTGCAAATAATTTTTTTGCAAAGACATCAACGACCAAGGCTGCAATTGTAGTACAGTTTGGAAGTGTTCTTTTGGTACGCTAATAGAAACCAAAAACCTTCATAACAACTCGACCCACTAACCTAATTGTGATTCGGGGTGACCCTTAAAGAAAAGGTATTTATATGTGCTAGTGTTGAGACTTGGAACTAATTAAGGCTTCCACAGTTTCCGTGCCTGCTCAGTTGACTAGATTTAGACGTACTAGTCGGCACTACCAGAGGGGGAGATCGGACCAGACAAGGGCAACACCAAGAGCACGTGTCGCACTTAGCAACCCAGCAGAACCAATTTTGTTGCTATTTTACTTATCAGCCGCTGTCTTGCGAAGAACAACATCTGGCATAGCCTCGGAAAACGGCGTCAAGCGGGTGAAACGCTTACTATTTATGCAGCACCATCGGGACCGCATGCACTAAGCATATAGTGTAACCTGCAGAGAGTAACAAAGGAGCCGAGTCTGTATTACTTTTGGTGTACCCCTTTCGCTTGCTTAGCAGCATTGCCATATAATTCCATTAATTGTTTAACGTTGCCAAGATGGACGGCTAATAGATCCTTAGTTTTAATTTTTATTTCCTTTAATTTTTTTCTTTCTTTTACTAATTTCTTTAAAACAAAATGTGCAATGAATATGCCTAAATAAGTTAAAGCGAGAGGAAATTCCTACACCACCGACCTTGACCGTTGCTCATATATATATATATATATATATATATATATACATGTGTTTATATACTTATAACTTTCTTTTGTAATATTTAGCAACAGCGATCATAATCGTCGTATACATTGGGCCCAACGTCTGCTTCGAAGGATATCGCGTGAGTAAGAGTTTAAACCAATGCCTATAGATATATGTAATTATATACACACATGAACATTTAAATGCAGTTAATTTAGCAAGACGGTAAATTAATTACTATCCGTCAAGTCTCAAGATAATGTTGGTGAATTTCTCCTTCCCCTTAATTTCGTTATGGGATTTAAACTAGTTATTGCACATTCATCATATTAACTTTGGATTCAAATTTTGTTTGGAAACTGTATATTTTTTTTGTAAATAGAGTTATACTCACCTTGCTATTAATTGGCAACAAATTGAACAATGCGTGAATAAACGAATTATATTAGCTTATATGATATGATATCCTAATTCCATAATTAATTGTTTTATCTGTCAAGTACCCATGTTAGCCGCTTGCAATTTATAGTGATGGTTTAAGAACCTGAAATAGGGACAAGCATCCACATTCCATTTTTTTTTTGCTTGTCAAGGTAGGGAGGGTAAAGAGAAAGAGAGACGATCAACACCTTAGTTCTCTCACTTACGCGAAATTGAATAGTTTGAATTTGGGTGTTCGGTCGGGACACATTAATGGTACCCATACTAGAATCCGGTTTTTTTTTGTTTCAATGGATTTACTTAAATCAATAAGTTTTTTTTTATTTTTTTTGATCGCACTTAAACTATGTGTTTATGGTAAGTGCAAAAGGGAAAGGAAAAAACCCCGACCAGTCCGACGAGCTATTGTCCGAGTATTAGCAAGAAGTGCGAACCTCCAATCCCTATGCACCCGGTTAGGCAACAGCCACGGCCGTTTGTTTTTATTTTTGGTAGATGGCCAAACGAAAGGCAAAAACTGAACCCGAACCATGCCCACCATTACACACTCGGAGGTGGCCAGACGCACCACGATGCCATATAGTTCGGGAAAGATTTCTAGAAACGCCGCCGAGCTGGTCAACAGCAACATGCAAGCAGAGGCAGGCACCAGCTTATGGAAGCCACTGTCATCCAATATGTTGAAGAGCGGCACGGCCACATAATCTTCCCGGGTTCTGTTTGTAAGGCAAACAAGGGGTTATCTTTCTTTTATTTGATTGACGTATAACTCACTTGAAATGCAGCACTGTGGACAGACAAATGGCGGTCAGCAGCAACGAAATGCACACCAGAGCTACGACCATGAACGCCGTGATGCGACCACCGCGATGCTGCTGAGGGTAAACGCTGGGAAACGCATAGGTTAGCAATGCGGTCGTCAAGAGGAACTGTAAAGAGAGAGATAAAGAAAGGTAAATGAGAAATCAATTGTGGTAATGAGGAAGATATATGGAGAGGGAGGGAGTGATGGGTGCGCGGGAACAAAAAGTAAAATTGTGGCCTATTATCAATCCTATGCTGTGTCTCATGTCTAAAGAAAAGTTTCTAGGCTATATATACTTTACACTATTGCTGAATACTGTACAATAGTGGAAAATTTATTCAATAATATAGTCTCGTGGAAAAATGTATAAACCTAAGGCAACACTATAGAGCTAAAGATCTATGTTGTGTCAACCAACATCTCGTTTAACATAGCCTAAGTTGACATAACATAACCCAAAACATCCTAACTTTACATAAACTAACATAACCTTACTTAACATAAATTAACGAACATAGCCTACCTTTATACTAAAAACAACCAAACGGGGTTCCTCATTCTGAAGAGTTTACTTCTGTTTATTCCTTAAATATTTCGCATGATCTACATATTCAGTTGAATAAACTAAATTAAAAGGACTTTTCAGGAGCTAGAAAAGAATATATCATACCCATAGGAGAGAGATAGACAGAGAGAGGGAGAGAGAGTCCACTGTTTACGAATTTTTATGCCAAAAATAATTATACTAACTCACAAAAACAAAACAAGACTCTAATCCTTTTAAACACCACAAACAACTCTGCAGAGTAGAGGATCCGCTGCACAAAAAACGTAGGATGCCGTGTCATAATCAAAAGCTTACATCCTGCGGCTTCAATTGCCGCCAGTCACGAAAGCCGCCGGCGGCAATGCGGCTAAAAATCGATAAAAAAAAAAACAAAAAGACTACAGAAAGGGCGCAAAGTGCACTGACCTAAAAACACGCCCATTAGCGAACTATCAGAGACTGACTATGAATGGGGGGCGGAGCGCGCGGGTCGAATGTAGGGATTGATCCACTTACGCTGCTAATGCCGTTTGGCTGAAAGTAGTTCTCCGACCAGGCCAGAAAATCGCCACGCCACCAGCCGACAGCGCTGAGAATTGCATTGAGACCGAACATGCCGAGTGTCATGATGAAGCTGAAGGCCTTCGAGTGCTGCGAAAGAGAAGCAAAAATTAGTTATGCAAAGTAAAGGCTTGTTGCAAGATGCAGTTGCAGGTGGAACGCACCTCGAGACCCAGCATGAACATGCCAGTGACCAGAAAGACAACGGCCACACCAAGCACATCCGGCCAAGGTTCATTGGCGGGTGAATTGCGGCCTAAAATTAGGCAACAAAATTGGTTAAGCGCGCTACAGTGCAGGCAGAAATATTGTGCACACATACCAAGTATAAGTATTCTGGCCAAGCCGCCCGTCATGGCATCCAGACAGGCGCTCAGAGTGCGAGCGAGCGCCGCACAGGCGCACATGGCCGTCAGTGCATCCATCCAGGTGGCCAGAAATAGGCAGCCAAAGTCAAATTTGTTTGTGGCCCGCACATAGGGCATTTGCAGGCTGCGCAGACTCGACTTGCAGCGCGCTGTTTAGCACAAGAGTTAGTTATAAAATGTGTAGAAAAGCAACGCCTGGCTGCTACTCACCTGCCATAGTGCCATAAATGGTGGCCAGCACTGTGCCAAAGACCAGACCCGGGGCGGCAGCCTCATTATAGGCTATCAGGTAGGTAATTACCGAGGTGCCCAGCGCCAGGCGAGCGCCGCTGCCGCAGCAGAGCGCGTCAAGCAGACTGCGAGCATAAAAAAAAATCACATATTAATTAAATCCCAATGGCAAATATAATTAAAACTTAATGTAATGCTGGTCTGCCAAGCGTCGACACACAAAAAATAAAGGATCAAGCAGGACACTTATTGGCGCCAAGCCGACGAGCTGGCCGCAATGTGGGCGTGGGTTCGGTTTGCTCTCCAGCTGTCGGATGACTCATTTAAAATTCAACTGTTTGGCCTTTGCCCTGCACAGTGTCCTATTTCGTAATTGAAGCCCTGCGCTCCTCCTTTTTGGCCAATTTGCCGTTAACTGTAAGTGTATGCATAATTCGTGCATATTTTAGACGCACGATTATCCCTAATTACATGGAAATTGTCTGGCTAGCTTGAGGCTAGCTGTTGGCAATTTCAAAGGCGCCAGCTAAGTGCGCCAAATGTACTAAATTGGCTAACAAACTGCAGTAATAATAGTTCGAACCCTTTTTACTTAATTTAACTGACTCTTCCCATTTCATTCGAAATGTATCGCATTTTATTTTCATGACTTGCAGTTGCTTTGCACATTTTCATTTCAATTTGTGACACTTGCTCGTCCTATTTATAGCTGGCAGCTAGCTCGAGCACAGCACGAGTAAATAATAATTTGCAAATAAAACACATCCATTCTCAATGGTTCTCATAAATGTCAGAGTCATGTCTGTCTGTCTGTCTGTCCGCTGTGTGGCTTGTTGTTTTAGCTGTTTAGTTTGGCAAAGTGCGTGACCAGCCAGCGACATAAACAAGTCGTTGAGGAAACTTTGGACCTAACGAATTTCGATTACCTACATATTACCTGTTACGAATTATATCAGCTAGGAACAGTTAATTATTTTTACCAATGTTAATTGAGGTTGCAATTTTGGGTAAACCAAAATACAGCAGAAAAGTTAAAGTTCAACAAAGATGAGTTTTAGAAAGATGTATAAATAAATAATAAAATATAAATGATAAATGATAAATAAAATCTAACACTTTTGGGCATTTGAAAACTAACTAAAGCTCAGATGACAAATTAAAATTATAAGCTGCCATCTAAAAAACTTAGTTGTATGCAAAATTTAAAAACACTGAAACAAATATTCAAAAGTTGAATACAATTTTCATGCTAAGTAAAAATTGTGCTGATCAGACGATTTACTTAAAAATAAAAAAAATAGAAAACAAAAAAAAACGAAAAAAAAAATAAAAAGGGTGTTGCAGCATAAAAAGTTGTATACTATATTATTTTATATTATATATAATAATATTCTAATTGTTTAAAATATTACAAGCTATACAATATTTTCATTTGTGTACATAATAATTTGGGGGTTTTTACAAAACATTCAAAACTCATAGCATAATAATATACCTAATTATATTACTTTTATTATTTTTGTATATCCCTTTTTTTTCTATTTATTATATATTATAAAATGATAATCAATTAAAACTATTTTAAACTTTTAAAAGTGTATTTGATTTTTTTTTGTTTTAGTTCAATTCGGTTCAGCTTAAGCTTCGGTTATTCTTAATACTGCCAAGCCGATTTATGGTTTGGTTCATGATAAAAAGGCAAATGGGTTTCCATGATTGAACCGGTTCGAAATTGGTTTTCAGCCTTGATTACACATACGCACTGTTGTAGCGCACACAAAAGCCAAATGAATGAGAAAAGGGCACAAACAGTGCCAGTCAATGCGACGCCGACACAAACAAGGAAAATGGCAACAAAAAAAAACACGAAAAATAAATAAAATAGAGGAAAACAAATGCTAAACAGACAATAGGCGTGTGGGTGGACAGATAGGAAAAACCCAACCAAAGCAATCAAAAATCAATTTATTGATTGCACACAACAAATATATGAAAAAAAAAAAAAAAACAAAACATAATATGAACGTCATATGCATGTTGGCCCAAACGGCTTGACCATGAATGCAAGATATGACCAATCTCTGGGGTGCTGCATGGTTGGTGGGTGTTGGCCTACCTGGCGCTCGACATGGTTGGACGCTCCTCTCTCTATGTGTGTGTGTGTGTGTGTGTGTGTTGTCTGCCTTCTGTTAGCTGTTTTGTTGACTGCGGGTTACGTTTGCTGGCTTTCTGCCAGCCAGAAGCTCAGTGGTTGGATTTTATTTGTATTTGACATTTATTGCTAATTGCATATTTATTTCGCGCAGTGCATTGCAAACTTCTCGATCGTTCAACAATTAATTGAATGTTTTTTAAGAACTGTTGCGATTGAGTCTCCGCGAGTTTATGTCACTTGTGGCTTGGCATTGCCTTCAATTAGCCACGTCGACGTGGCTAGCGACGCCTTGACGCGTAACAGCTCGCACAATGGGCCAAAAACGTTGCCAACTATTTCGTTATGGCCCGCACTCAGTACGTTTAAATGCCTGACAAAATATTTAACGTAGCGCTCACTCAAATTGTCCGCAATTGACTGAGTGCTCACTCGAAGCTTTTCCTTTTGCGTGAAAAGCGAAAGCTCTTCTACACCATTTTCTGAGCACAACGTGCGGCTCCTGCGCACTGACGATTGTTTACGTTTGCAATTGGTTGCACCGCTGTTTGCTCTCTGCCTCTTGCTCTTTGCTAGCGGCTAACGGCAAGCGGCAGCGTCGCATGTGGCACGTAATATGATTCGTGACTTTTGATGTGGCTCAAGTGCGGGGCAAGTGTCATTTATTTGTGCACATAACTGCGCGCCTTTTCATAGAAAAGCTGAGTCAAGAGAATTTTATTCTTGAATGCCCGAAATAATTAAGTGGAAAGTCTTTGACACAGAAATAGTTATATATATATATATATCTTACTCTGCTCTTAAAAATATTTCTGACTGTATATTTAAAAAACCTCTTGTGAATCTAAATAAATTTTTTATTTTTTTATTTTTGTGATGCATTTCGCATCAAAGCTCGTTCATTTGTTTGCAACCGGTTTAATCAACTGCGTACAATAAAAAAATGTTTTTTTATAAAAAAAAAAATTAATAAAAAAAAACTGCACCTCGTTCTATTAGCATAACTTCAGAATCAAAAGACTTGTTTATACTGTATCAAAAGAAGCAGACAGCTCATTGTACTGATAAAAAGTAGATTTGCATATACATTATATAAAAGCAGTTTTATTAAAAATAACATTTGAAAAATTTGTTTAATAAATGCAAAAAAAATATACAAAATATATTGAAATATTCGCTTAGAGCTCTTTCACTAAATGTTCAATTTAGCAAGACTTCGCAAAATTTCATTGGTAAAGGTGGAAAATGGGTAGAAAACATTTATATGCGACTTTTTTATTTCGTATCAAATCGGTCTTAATTTACAAATAGATAAAGTAAGAATAGTTTAAAAAGTAGACGATTTAATACACTTGTAGACATTAGATGCTGAGTTTGGTATAAATATCTTGGAAAACAGAATATTTTTTTAATATATTTATGTTTAGATTATAATACCTTCTACAAGGGTGTAAAAAGGAGATATGTAGGCCAAAAATGAGACATTTCTTTTTGCTTGTCTATTTACTTTTTTTTTTAAGTGGGTAAATTGGATTTGAATGTTAGTAATTAAGTTTATTAACATCCTGTAAAACTGGAGGCACATCAAAAGAAAAAAAAGTTTTCTAAAAGAGTTATTTAAATTTAAGTTCGATTTGACGATTTTACACTTAGGCCATATTTCAGGCTCTTAACTGCTTACATATCATCTGGAAATATAGACTCTTTGGGTAATGGTGACATCAACTTTAGAGGAATGAGCAAATATGATGAGAATACCCATGAATTCGACTAGCACCCACGCACTGTGCTAAGATCAAATCTAAACAAAAAAAAGAATGCAAGAATGTGCTAATCGAAGGCATGTCAAGTGTATATTATTAGAACTATTCGGAGTTCTAGTTGAAGTGGTTTACGATTTCAGGCTGCGAACATTAAACTGGATTGGTCCAGATGAAAACAAGTTTCAGGCGCGACTGCCAGACGGTTGCACCAAATTATGTATTTAACATTCGTATATACTTAACTATATTAAAAAAATACCCCGCGCTGAGGTAAAAACTTTGGACTTGAGCATTTGTATCTTTCAGCTTTGAGTTTGAACTGAGCTTTGAGTTTTAGAGGCTGCGGTCACTTAGCACTCATCAAAGCAACGACTCCAGCAATCGACCTTCCATCCAACTTTAGAGTCATTTTTATTTTTGGTACATTCAGTTACCTGTGAGATATGTGTGTATTGTTTATAGCTCAGCTGTTGTATATTTTTTTTCATTTTATTTGATAACTCAGCCTCAGTTGTCTGTTTGGCCTTTTTACTTATGATTTGCCTACTAATTTAATTAAAAGCACATTTAATGTGCCGCTGTCTCGACCGGCGTTTGGCTCATTGTTAAGGTTGTTCAAGTGGACTTTAAATAGAGCTAAGGCCCATTCGCTGTGACCTATAAATAACTCAACGCTTTGGGCATTTCTTCAATATTTGCCAAAGTCTTGGGCATTTATATGCCCAATTTTAATTATAAAATTTACATCAGTTTTTGCATAATCATTAACAAAGTCGTAAGCACTTACTTGTCTTTTTTTTTTTAATAAATTTCAATATTTTTATATTAAGTATTCATAATAAATATATATTATTTACTGTGGGTTTTTCTTTATAATGTATACAAAATTCTGAATATATTTCATTTAATCATCAATTTTGATACGAACTATATTAGATTATATATTAAGTTATTGTTCCACTCAATTTCGACACGTTTCATATACATTTACATACTTATACAATTCTAATATATATAAATATATATCTTGCACGTGTCATAAGCGTGATATCTAAATCAAAACTCATATGTTGTCTATAATTTACATATTTATGGATGGAAATGTTTGTAGGGCCTATTCAAATTCTGCATTTAGCCATGTAAAGTTTCTTATTAGCCTCAACTTTTGTTGTTTGAATTGGTTGAGTTTTCAACATGATGTTACAAACCAGTGGTGTGTGTAAAAGCTAATCGATAGGGCCTTAAAGAAAAGCCATAATTAAGATTCAATGCCGCTTGCAACACACTCTTTGAGTTAGCTCAATTAAAGTGGGTCAATTTCGGCAGACGGAAGTCGATGACAATTTGGAACCGGAAAGTATTAGTATACTACCACTACAAGGGTATCTAAGCTAAAATATACAAACTTTTTGAAAGATTTGATCTTTGTGTTGTCAGCTGATAGATAAATCTTATGTGAAATAATAATTTAAAGCCAACGAATATAATTCCAAACATAAAAGCTCCAGCTATTATTAGATTAATGATATGTGGGCTTACATAAGGTACTCCTGGCAACAGAATACGTACGATAGACTATCAGCATTGCATAAGATAATAGATAGATGTATTTTTTTTTTCTGAAAAAAATAGATATTAGATGCGTTGCCATACAAAAGTATCTGTAGACATTTATAACAAACTCAATGGACTAGAATTTGTTGAGTGCAAGGAATTAAGCTTTGTTCCATAGTTTATTTTTAAGTATGCTTCATTGATCAGTATAAATAATCTTCAAAATATTAAAATAAGTTGTTCAAAAAAAAAGCAACACATAAATTTTGGCTATCTAAAACGCAATTTTTCAAACGGGTTCCGTTTTGGAAAGTTCATTCAAATTAATTGCTTTATAACATACAAAAATAATGAATTTCAATTAACATGTTGAAAACTTTGTTCATGAATACGATAAATGGAGGTGGATTCTCAAGTTTGGCAACGTTTTGGCCTTGATAGTTTCAAGAATTAGTGCTAAGAAATGGTTAATAAGTTTGGCAGCCAACAATTAGTAAGCTTTTGGTTATTGACGTATCATATAGGAATTACTTTTTTTTTATATTTTTACAAACTCGCCATATAAATCATTATAAAAGACTACGTGCTACGTGGTTCTATTCAAACTATCCAATTAAAAATACATATCATAAAGAATATCAAAAGTATAGTTCAATGTCTAAGCCAAGTTCCAAGTCATCAGCCAATTGCCATCGACGCACATGGCATAAAACACGTTCTATGGAGCCTTAGCCGGAAGTTTTCATAACTCCACGCTTTGCGAACGAGAATTCTTAAAGCTAAAGCTGCGTGTATATATACATTTATATTTGATCGCTCTATGTGTGTGTGTGTGTGTGTGTGTGTGCGAGTGAGGAAGTAAATAGGTTAAAGTTCGGCGATTGGCGCCACCGCTTGAATCTTTGACAAATGGCTGAGTTCAGCAAATTACGCTAATTTCGATATGAGGTTCTAACGGGTTTTGCACGCCCGTCAAGGTTAACCAAATGAATCTTTTACTATTTTCAAAATGATTAGGTTTTTTTTTTGTATGCTGTGGATTAACATATTTTTAGCGCGCGGTCAACAGGGCACGAGGTCAAATTGTTTATGCAATATTTAGAAAAAGGAAATACATTTGTTAGAGAATGTTGTTTTGTTTCCATAGCTAATAAAGCGGAAATTATTAAATAACATAATTAAAATTAGTTAAATTTCATAACAGGTGATTTAACGATAAATGTTTGATGCGCAATTATTTCAATAAACAAAATACCATATAATATTTGCTTTTGCTCATATGGCAACACTGGTAACAGCTGTTTGCCGCTCCGCATATGCTTGCGCTCTCCATTAATCCTGCTCTCTTCTGCGTACGGCCGCTGCCAAAATTAAAAGAAATGTAATCACAGCTGAGCCTTTCATGTTGCCTGCTCTCACGACTGACACTGCCGCTCTTGCTCTTTCACTCTCTCTCTCTCTCTCACTCTGTCTTTCTTTTGGTTTTGTTCTTGTGTTTTGCGCATGCGTCGCAAATGTCAGTTGCGCAGCGAAGTGTCGACAAGAGGACGCTAAAAATAAATAAATATAATCAAATGCAAAAGCAAACCGCATTAATTTGTGTACAAAAGTGAACAATGCAAATTTAAATATTTGATTTATTAATCGCAGTATATTATGAAAAGCCGGCTATCAACATTTATTGCGTGCTTTCAATTGAAGAACGTGTGTGTGTATGTGTGTGTGTGTGCCTGTACTCAGTAAATATTGCGAAACCGAAAGCAAGAGGACTGTCAAATGCCGATACGTAAATTAAGTTCATAATATTGCATAATACATTTGAAGTTTAGAAGTGCGCTCAACAGTCTCCAAATTTCGAGTGGCTCTTATGTATCAAAACGCGACTCTCGAGATTTATGCAACTCACCATGCGGGTCGCAGTTCCCATGCTACCCCCCACCTACACACCCACACACTTGTAATTTTGCATGATCATGCATGCAACTGACCAAAGACTAGACGGCCTTTAAATGTTTTTGGGGTTTCTTGACCCCAGGCAGTCGTTGCAAATTCTTGTTAAAAATGCAAATTAAAAGAGAAAAAACGCACGTAAACAAACCGAATCTTAAAAAAAAGACAAATATTAAATGCAAAATATGTGACGAAATTGACAAGAATTGGTAAAATATCTTATAAAGATACGCAGATTTGCATAACTTGTTTGCACTTGCAAAAGCTTAGGTTGAAAACAAGAACATTGCCTTTAGGCCTTGCTAGCCTAAAAGATATCCTACATGCAATTGTTGGATTCACATATTCATGTGCATATATTATAGAATTCAGAATATTCTGGAGTCCAACTACGTTTTTTATATAATTTAATATTGATTCACTAAGGGTCTCAAAAATACACCCTTGCTTGCAATTATACAGGGTATAAGCTTTCAAACATTCTAAATGCAGACGAGAACTTGACGCCAGCAGACGGAGAAGAAGCAGCACAAAAGAGAAGACAAAAAATACCAACAACAAAGAAAATTAACGCAAGTGCGTCATTTTACTTTCATTTGGCATCTGGTTTGGTCTGCGAAATGCAACTTAAAGCATAAATCAGAATTAGGCCGAAGGAAAGTGAAAAAATATACCGTATGCCAACATGGGCATATTGATAGGACAGCTGGGAAAGTGAAATGCAGGTAAATTAAGCAAATATGCGAGTGAAGTGTTGGAAAGGGCTTAAAACACTTCAAAGCTACAGTTAATTAATTAATTAGACAGCAGCAAGTACATTAAAGAGTAATTTTCTTGGAAAATGCTCAATTTAAGCAATAACAAAGAGGCGAAAGGAAAGTTCAAAAGTTAGCTTAAGCTCTTAACTTAAATTTAAGTAGCATTAAAGAGCGTCCAAAGCTAATTAAAGGAATGAAAATATTAGATTTTTTAAGGTGTATGTTTTGAAATGGTCTAATTAGCGCATCAGTAATGTTTTTTTTTTTATGATTTTCCAACTTTAGTTCAAGATTATTATCCATAAAGATAGCTAATGGCAACAAGGCCCGAAGTTGCAATGAAGCTTGCTAATAAACCACATTTAATTATGATTAATATGTCAATTAATCAGAGCAAGCTAATGAGTTTGCCTTTGGGCGTCCTTCTAATGCAGCTGGTATTAAAATTATTAAAGCTTTCAGCTAGCATAAGTTGCAATTTATTTGTGTGAACAGTGGGCAACAGTTAGGCAAATGACAACATAAAAGTTAGAGCTTTTATTAAATTACACAAACTAAAACGAAATATGCAATTAGTGTAAAGCGTTAAGCGACAGAACGCAGTCGTTGCTGGAAGCTCTGCGTAAAACTGTAGCTTTTTGTTGCTTTTGCTCGAGTCGTGCAAAACAAAAACAAAACGACAACAAAAACAAACAGTTAAAAGCCGCGACTCAAGCTTCGTGACGTCACAGACAGCTAAGCTTCGGTCAGCGTCAAGCGAACGGCGACGGCGGCGTCGACAGCGACAGCGACGTCAACAGCGATATCCAATAGCGCCCCAAAATAAGAAGTCGAAATTCATTCCTTTCGTTCAAATTCGTTTGCTACGCTCACGAGAGCGGACGTGCAGCGCGGAAAATCAGAAACAAAAGCCAAAAACGCATAAAACGTAATAAAGACAAAAAGTAAAACAAACAACAACAAATATATTTCGTAGTCTCGCTTGTTGTTATTATTATTGCGATTGTTATTGTTTAGCTTGCTTGTGCTTCGTTTGCAGCAAGGAATTACCGCTAAGAAATTACGAAAAATACTCAATGTGACCAGATTTTTGCAGTTAACATAAACAAAATAACGAAATTAAGTGTTTCAAAATGGTGAAGAACAATAACAATCTGCAGGCGCTCGGCAACGGCCACGCCCTGCAAAATGGCAATGTTACGCCAGTGGGCGTGGCTGCACCCGCACCCGCCGCCCCAGTCAGCTGGGGCCAAACACTTTGGAATACCTGGGATGCCTTCGCGGATGTCATGTGGTTCATCATCTGCAGCATAGGCTACATACTTCAGGTAAGACTTAACACCAGTTCAGCTCATTGTCGACTTTGTGCATAAATTGATGTCTAAGAGCCTTTGTTTACAACTGTTTAACAAATTTGAATTGTTTATGATTTTTTGCTATTGACTATTTGCATTTCTGATGCTTCCGTATGCTTGAGAGCGACTCAACAACTTAATCGACAGCATTGTGTGATTTGAAGCACAAATAGATTCAAGCTTAATGTTATATAATAGATACGTATATTCTGAATTATCGAAAAAACAAAAGTTAAAACAAATAAGAAACAAAAAATTTAAAATAAAAAGGAAGCTAAGACATATCTTTGACGACCTATTCTTTGAAACATGAAAAAGACTATCTTTAATATAGTATAACTAAATGCATGAAGGGTTTTTGTTTTTTATAATAATTGCTTACAATTTCTTAACTAAAGAATATTATTGTCCGATGATTTACTAAAGTTACTTAACTTAAATTTATATTCAATTTATAGTTTATTTAATTTGTAGTTAGTAAAAATGTTGAAAATTGTTTAAATTTTTATATATAGACAGATAAAATATTGAAATATTTGTTTAACTATGGGCAGAAGATGATATATGAACAAGGGCTTTAATAATAACTGAATAACTCAAGTTTATATGGAAGGGTTCGAATACATTTTGCCGCCAAAATTGTATGAAAGTGCGAAGCCAACCTTTAGATATACCGAAAAAAAAAAACATCTTTCTTTGAGCTCTCTTAACTTATTTAAACAAGAACACACTTTAATATTGAAATTAGCTCAAAAATATTCCAACAGTTATTTAGTTAATTATAAATATCTTTTAAAAATGGTTCGTTATAACGTATTTTCTGGCAAACGACATTTACTGTCGACTGTTATTCAAGAGCTTCACTTGATAAATGAAATAAAAGCAATGGCAAAACTCGTTTTCGGGCCACTCATTTTCACTCCCTGAATTGGTAGGTAGTGCCCTTGCTCTTGGCTGCTTGCTGTTACATCTCTTCATGGTTAATTAATAAGTTTGCAATTGCATTTGCCCATTTATGGCTGCAAGCGTTGTGCATATAAATTAAACGACACGCGCACGATCAATTTACTTTTGATCTTTAATCTGTAATTTGTTTGCCTTTAACTTGCATAAGTCAGCTTTGTCTAGTTAGTTAATTTAACTTACCTGCTGCTGCTTATTAATGGCACGATTCGAATTCTGATAACATATATTAGAGAACTTACAAATCTATCTTTAACACAATAAAAGTTTTCAAGCAAAAATATTTTGAAATTTTCCGTTGAAATTAGATCTTTTCTATAAACATGTTATATTGTAGGGTTGTGTCAAAATATTCCTAAAATCTTTTGACCTTGCTTGTTTTAATGGGATTACACAGTAGTGTATACGAACAGATAGGCTGACGGAGATTCGAACATTCCTACATATAAATAATTATCCTTTACAAACAGATCACACAAAATAGTAAAATTTTGTGCAGATTTAGCAGCAAGTTTTTTTTCGTAGTACGAAGCTCTAAAGCAAAAACAATCAATTAATATATTTACATTATTTTGCTTTATATATTAATATTTATATCTGTTTTATTACCATATTTATTTGGTGAACCTTTTTGCATAGTTTTTGTTTTATAATTCCCACTGTAAGCATAGCTAAAGAGAACAATTCCTATCAGCTGTAAAATCACATCGCGTTGTCTAAGAAATTCATTGCAAAGCTTATTAAATTAAACAAACACACAAAAAAATCCCCCATTGAATAAAACATTAACTATAGCTTAGACAACGAGCACTTAAAGAGATTGCACATTTAAGATTTACGTAGACTAAACGTTTTAAAGATTTAACATGATTTGCACTTACGGACGCCAAAAGGGCCGCTTTAAAGCCAAATAGAATAAAAGGCTAATTGCCGTAAAGCGCACAAATGTAATTTATAACTAGTTAACAAAGAATTTGGTTATTGGACTGCGGGGGAAAACGTTTTTATAAATATTAAATGTGTGGATATTTATTTTTTTTTGTATGGTTGAATTGACACGCTCGGCTTTATACACAAATTTCGCAGCATTACATAAGCCAATAATTTTTTAGGTTTTTTGTTGTGCTACATAATTATATTAATTTCACTTTGGCAAGAAAGATAAAAAACAAAAACCTTTTAGTTTGCGGCGTTGTTGTGCGGTGTGTGTGTGTGTGTGTGTATGCAGATATGATCATTAAATATAGCATGTATATCATGTATTTGCCTCGGTCTTATTATGCATGAGCGCCATTAAATTGCCGAGGTAACTCTCTTTGCCTGAATGCTTAACTAGCGTCGACGATGCCAACTGCATAGAGACAGAGTAAGGGCGGGAGGGGGCGGTCGGGGCCTGGCGGGCATATTGGAGGCGTTGCCCATTAAAAATGTTGACATTTGCATGCTGAATGCAATATCAACGAGTCATGAACGAGCCAAAACGAATTTGCATGTAAATCTTTTTACAGATTCGCTCGAGACGACACTTCACCGATGACTTGTCAGTTGTTGCAGTTGTTGTTGTTGCTGTTGTTGCATTTGCCTATTGATTGATTGTGCTAATAATGGGCTTTGGCTAGCCGGCCAACAATCAACGCAATTCAGGTCGATATTAGCCTGGCTTACGCTTTGCGTAGCTGCATTTTTGATTTGTGGCCCACATGCAAAACAAAAGACTTAGGCAACAAACTTGCACGCTTGTAGGCGTGCACATGCCTCACAGCCTCTAGAAATGTCGCACAGCCGCATGTAATGAGCTTTGGGGAGCACATCCAAAAAAACACACACACACAAACAAAAAATGATTCCCAACCGCAAAATGTTGGCAGCAACGGTGGCAGCGCTGTCAGCGTCGACGTCGCTGCTGCGTTTTGGCTTGTTGACCCAGTTCAACTTTTGCATTTTGCCGGCTTTGCAACGCTTTGAAGCCTGTTTTTATTAGCTTGGCTAGTTGTGGGTTCGGCTGTTGCTGTTGCTGCTGTTTTTTTTTGCTGTTGTTGCTGTGGCAACAACAAGCAACACATTTTTTCGCGGGCAACCTACCTGCCCGCCTGGCTGCGGCGTGTGCCTGTCTGTGTGTGCGTTTGTGTGTTTGCAACGGCGCAAACACACAGAAAAAGAAGAAATATAAAAGAAGTAAACGCAATTGAAATCGAAAGTGTTGGTCAAACAACAACAAAAGTCGTATAACTGCTGCTTGGTATTGCATATGTGAGCATAAAGTTTGCTTTTGTTTGAAGCCGTCGCGATGTGGAGGTTATTTGAAGCGCAGGCACAAAACCCCATAACGGCCTTGGCTCACTTGCTTGGCATATCTTTCATGTGAAGTGGGTTAAGATAGTGTTTCACTTTAGGGCAATAAATGGCTATGTTAGATAAAGTGATTTATAGGTGTTTGCTGCTTGGATGAACGAAGCTTAATATTTTATTTTTTTCATTTACTTGGTTAACAAGTGATATTAATTTAAACAAATATTTGGACTTAGAATATTTTTAAAAAGATTTTTCTTTTAATTTTTATTTTCTTTTCTTTTAATATACACTTGATTTTATTTGTCAGCCAATTATATATTACCTTGATTTGGGCCAGTTAAAAGCGATATTCTTTATAAAATATTAGATATTTTTGTATATTTTTTATTGCATAGCTCAAATGTGATATTCTTGATAAAACAAGATTTGGAATGTGCTGGGCAAATCTGAGAAATTCACATTGTAGTAAAAGAATATTGATATAAAAAATAATTGTATACACTTTCAGTTGGGCATTCAGTCTGAGATCTTCTAATCATAATTTTATATGTCTTCGATCTAATCTTTATACAAATTTTGTTTAGGAAAGTCTGGTAATATTTATTTATAATTTTTGTATATAGCCAAATATATATACATACACGAGTCTTTAACAAAGTTTCTTGAATTGAGTTGTTTGCCTAAAACTCTTTTGTTCATATTGCCAAGCCAAAATCTAACAAATTATATGTATAAAATAATACATAGTGATTTGCGGACCATCATTAGTCTTTATATCAGTTTCACACAAATTCCACATCCGCTGAGTACGCAGCTCAATTTGCAACAATCTTCAGCGAATTCCACTTTTGGCCAAGTTTGGCGCAATGCTGACGGAGCATAGAACTTGATTGCCAGCACGTCTAGCCGCACATCAATTGCGAGCCGTCGTTGTAGGTGCTAATTTCTGCTAGGCAATAAATAAAAATGGCTTTTGAAGGCCGCTCGGTCGAGTGACCAGCCGCTGCAAGCGGCGGCAGCCGAACAATGAAAACAATAAAAACAAACAGATAGACAAATACAAAGGCAAATTCATTGACCAGTTGCAAGGCAGCCAAAACTTTGGATATGTACAAGGCAACTGCCTCGATGATGCCTCAAAATGCAACGGCTCCACGGCGCAGCCAACGCGTTGACGGCATTCAAATGGAGTTCGCGTCATGCCTAAATCGCTGCATGGGTTGTTCAAAGCGTAAACCCGTTTCAAATAAAACACAATATATTCAAATTTTAGGTCGTTAAAATTTAAACAATTATTTGTTGATTTTTATCAATGAGTTAACTGCCAGCTCCAGCTGACTGCAAGAAATGACATTGAAAAATTTTTTATTTTTAAATTAAAATAATTAAATAAATTTTAAAAAAATAAAGCTGCTTCGAAATTGTTAAAGACAAGCCTTTGTGTTATAAATGTATTTTTAATACACAAATATTCCCTGCTTAAACAGCATATCGAGGCCCATCCCCTTTAGTTAGGCCTCTTCACACAACTACAAATTAAAGCAACATTCAATATGTGTCACTCGTGTATGCCACTAGGCGTGTTATCTCTACAGCTAAACAATTTTGGCCCACCTCGCAGCTCACTTGTTTCATTAGACGTATTTTATTATGAGCCACAATTTCAGGTTTATGCGTTTTTTGCAAGAGTCGCTGTCCGTTGCGCTCTATGAAACGCA